CAAGTACCATTATGATATCAGAGGGAAAACGACTGTAATAGAATATAATCGCGCAGTGTCTGACAACATCAAAGACAAGCCACAGGATGACCATTTCTAAATATAACTGACTTTGCCTATAGCCATTCTCAAGGGCTGATAATTTCTTTACATAATTTTTGAATAATTTTCATTTGTTTCCACTTTTCATTTCCTTTCGACTTTAATTCGGTTCTACGATAAATAATTAGCAAATAAGCGACTATAAGAATACTCTAAAAAATCCCTACATACAACAAAAATATACTACGGTTGAAATTACATAGTACAAACTACAATCACCATAAAACACTGAAGTAGAAATATAAAAAAAAACGAGAACAGAATTAATAGTCAAAAGGATTTTATCACAAATTTTCGCTTTGTCTTTAGAAGTGTTGAATAAATAGTTAAAATAATAAGCAAAAATTTAAAAAATCACCATACCAATTTTTTTTCCTGAAAAGTTCGTCTTAAAGGAAAGGTGACAAAAGMAACACATTTTAAAAATCAAACCAAAATGGTATTTTCAAGCACTTAAAGGTTTYCTAAAAACATGACAAACACGTAAGATGTTTCGAGGAATTAAGCCGCGCCTCCCACCTACAAATTCTTGATTTTGATAGGGAAAGGTAATTGGTTTTTAAGTTATTTCTAATTTCTATTTTCATCGCAGGAAACCCCGAGTAAGACGCGGGGCTTTCACAGTTATCTTAATTACAATTGCTTAATTATCTTTCACGGCCAGAAATAAAGAAATATTTATGCTAAGTTATTGTTAAGGTCAACAATTCTGAACATTTGGCCTTGGATTGCGTATCAATATATATCTATTGTATTTGTAAACCATACACAAAGGTACGTATATATAAATATATTGATATCTGTTGCCTTGGATATAAATAGGTAGATTTGGTCTATTTTGAAAATATAATCTGCCACTCCGTCAAAACATCTGAATACCTTTGGTTCTAAAAAGGTTAAAGTTGAAAAATACAGTCAAAAGAAAAGACATAAAAGTCATTACTTTTTACTTATGGATGAGGAAATAAATTCGGGGAATTTGAATAGGAAATTACGACTCGCTACGAATGAGACCGTCTCTTAGCAACGGCTAGTGATACGAATAGCTCGAAAATAGATCGTATTGTGCTTGCAACGATGGACGAAGCGGCTCTTTGCTGGRGCGCTGCTTAGCAAAGAAATATTGTGGAAGGAATTTTCCATAAACATTAAAAATAAAAACGACAAATTAAATCGATATTAGTTTTCGTGTAAAAAAAAGGTGCCGAAGACAAACAGCACTAATATGATGGCGAAAATTTAGAACTTCTATGATTTTATAGAATATATATCTCATACATATCTAATATATCACTAAAGCACTAAATAAAAATGTGTGGCAATATACTTCACAAAAGCATCATTTCATCTTCTTTCGACCTTTTTTCTTCATYATTCCTTTTTTCGTTGCGATAAACAAACATAGCAATGTTAGAGTGCGGCAAAGTTTTGTAGATCTACGGTCTACTGAGGTCTACTGAACTTACTAATTTGTGCAATTTCTTAAAAAGTTTTTCACGGGTATATGGTATGCTTTCTACTAAATTCAATGCAATTTTGTTTGATTGTTATTCATCTATTTTTTTAAGACCATTACCTCAAAATGGCACTGGTAGGTGCCTTGCAGTAATGTTATAAAATATAAGATACTATTTATTTCAGTTGAAGTCCATGGTGAGCAAGAGCAAAAGCTAAGGCACTGACTTTTATCCCGACTGTATCATAGCTTAATTTTTTCCTTCGCGAAAAAAGCTTTGGAATTTTATTAATTTCGATCGAAATAATAACATAATGAAGTTTAATACAAAAACACATGTCTTTCCCCTTGAACTATCCAAAAATGAACTAAAATAAAGTGTCTTTCTTTTGCATTTTGTAATGCGCTAAGTTGGTAGAACGTATTCAATCACGTCAAGTACGTGGTCACTACTGTCAGTAGTTCTAAGTCCACTTCACGAACTTCTTCAAGAAGGTCACAGTGTATCTATTGCTTGACTAAAAACATGACAAATGACACAGAGCCTCTAGCTTATCAGATCCCTTCGCCGAGGAACTGTTACGAAAACGTCACCAATACGTGATGACAAACATGTTTGCTCGTACTTGATTGTACAAGAACAAATAAACAAACAAACAAACAAATAAACAAACAAATTAAAAAATAAATAACAGGTAAAAAGATACTAACACATTTTTGGTTTAAATATTCTATGTACATACATAAATTATTAATTTATGCCATCTTTGTCTTTCATTTTTTTATTCTTTACATGCAATAAGCGGGTTCACACCTAAACTCTGTTGCTTTTGAGTAAATGTTCGTATTGCTTTGTTCTATCGTAAGTTACTTGAAAGTAGCGAGGTTTACGATTTTTAGGAAAAATGCTATCACAGAGTTTTTATCATCATCATCATCAACATCATCATCATCATATCATCATCGACATCATCATCATCAATATTGTAGTTCTACATCTCGTCGTCTTTGGTCCAAAATTTGGATTTATAACGATGTTCTCCCTACTCGGAACGGTTTTCATCGTATCATCATCATCGTTCTTATCATTATCATCATCTTCTTCTTCTTCAAGATGGTGATGATAATGATTTCCCAWTTTTTGTTGATCATTGTTTTATTATGTATTATTTTCGTTTATTATATAGATATCGATGAAATACCRGGTTCGTTGCACTCACTCGTATGAGATATCAATTGAACACTCGAAGATAAAATTCGTATCTCCGCGCGCCCATGTAATATCCTCTGTATATCTTTTTTTACATCTGCAGTGATGGGCACGTACATATAAACTCAAAACAATATAGTCCATGACTGTTGTTTGTCTTTGTTTTACTTTCTTTATATTACTTATTTATTGTTTTTGTTGTTGTTGCCGTCTTTTTGTCCTTTTCCCCCAATAAGATGAGTAAAACTGWAGGTGGACTTAATGCACAGTACGGAATCCGACAAACAACTCTAAACGAACAATCTCAAAAATAATCTTCGCACATCATATCTCGCTTGAAACTATTTATATAACCTGGTATTTACCGCTCAGTTGCTTATGTCAAAGCCTTAATAAACAAATATTAATTCTTTGGTATCAGTGTTAAGTGTCCTCAATAAAGATGATATTTCGCACATCTCAAAGAAAAGACTTGTTTTTAATTCATAAAGTGCAGTACGTGATATTCAATAAATATCAAGAGCTATACTGACATCTAGTCATATTTCATCAATGCCCTGAAGTATGAATGCGCCTAATCGCGAATGTAAAACTGAGATAAAAATCTGGCCCGCGAGGATCAAAAAGCTGGCATATTCCGATTTGATTAAAGCAACCAATCACGCCGCGATCACTAAGAAGTTTATTAGTTTCCTGTTAGATAGATGCGTGACAAAAATAGCGTCAACATTTCACCAAGTACTACAATACTTAAATGACTGTTTTCACCCTTATGGGGACTCGGATATTTGTTTTCCCTAAGAGGGTCGACTCAAATATTACTACTCGGTTTTCCCCTTAAGGGTACTCAAATAGTTGTTTTCCCTTATGGAGACTCAAATAGTTGTGACCCCACGCACGCAGCCACAAGAAAGGAATGTTATTCGATTGAACACTATCTACTTTAGTGATTTGAACCGCACTTGCTAATACAATATTCAAACGATTACTCAATAAGATATTTGTCTTACTATTTCATTCTTGTATGTTTTT